TCCCAGGCCAGGCTGGAGCGGGCACTGGGAGCACTGGGACAGCTCATCCTGCCCATGGATGTGGTTTAAGGTCCTTCCCAAGTCAAACCATCCTGGGATGCTGGGAAAACATCAATCGGCTGCTTGCAACCCTTAAATTGCCTGGGCACGGCTGCTCTGGGTGAACATCAGGAAACCTCAGCCACAAGTGACCCAAGCACAGCACAACAAACAGGGGCTGTAGTTTAGGGATTTTCTAATCCTTCTGACCGTTCAGGAGCTTCCCAACATCCCCAAACCCGCAGGGATTTCACCAGACAGAGCAGCCCAGCCCTGACTCGGAGCTACTTTGAGTCATCGCTTCCCTCATTCCCAACTCCAGGAATTCAAACCCATTTGCAGCCTGAACCTGAGGAAGGCACTGCTGAAACACCACAAAAGCTTTCCCAACAAACCACGGGGGAATAAAATAAAATCAAACCCCCGGAGTGCTCAGCCAAGCTGCTGCACGCTCAGGTTTAAAAATGCTCCCAGCATCTGTTTTGTTGGGGTTTTTTTTGCAAACTCCCGCTGTCCGCCCTCACGGAATTATTCCGGGCTGCCTCTCATCTGCTGGGAGCTCTCTGTGCTGCCAAAAGCCTTCCCTGGGCACTTAAATCCATTCTTCTCAGCATTTCCGAGGCGCTCTCTGGGTCAGTTTTCCCAAGCTCCCGGAATTCCGTGTGTTCGCAGCCGTTTTTCCGGCTGAAGTTTTGTGGCTTTTTAGGTTGTGATATTCCCCTTTCCTCTCGTTTTGCTGTTCCATCAAGGCACCACGTCACAAAACATTTCATTTTAGGTTTCCAAACCAGTGGGAAGGCCCCGAGATCCCTGGGAATACCCCCATAATATGAGGAGCTACACCTTGATTCCATCCTGTCACCACTGTGAATTTTAAAACATGCAAAACTATAGCAATTAGAGCAAAAAAAATTACCTTTTCTTTGGTTTTTTTTTTTATTCAAACCAGAATTTGATCTGTTTTTCCTCTAGAAAAACATTCACAGTGCAAATCTGCAACACCAAAAAAAAAAAAACCAAAAAAAAACCAAACCAAGCAGTGCCAGGCATCAAATATTTAACCTGGAGTGAAAATAAATCGCCATGAAAATGAAATCACTGATAATTATCATTATTGGAACGACTGGATATTGGATTTGATAGAGCTCTGACAATTCCTGAGTTATGTTTTTTACCAGCCAAGCTCCCTCCCCCAGCTTTACAGAAATCAGGATGCACTTTCTGGAGTTAACTGGGAAAAAAGCTGCTGTGTTTATTCCCAAATATTCCTGTTTTGAGGAGTTCTGACTGAACACACAAACATCCAGAGGAATCCCACAATTCCAGCCTCCAGGAAGAAGAATTCTGCTAGGAAACTTGGAAAAAATGGGAAAGGGCTTGGCCTAAGGCAGACCCGAGCTGTGTGGGCTCCCTGTGCTTTGCTGCCCTTCCTGCTTTAATCAAAACCAAACCTGAGAGCAGCATGGCCACAGGAATTGTCCTGTTTATTTCATTTATTGATTTATTTCATTTATTGATTTATTTCATTTATTGATTTGATAGATTTATCGACAGAAAGCTTTAACACCTCCCTAGAGAAAAAACACCTCCAAAAGATGAAATCTCAGCCTCTGGAGCCACGAGTTTGAATTTCAGGAGGTGCAAGAATGACTGAAAGAGTGAAATCAAATCGATGATGGGCTAGAGGGGTCCCTGAGGCTCACAAAGACACCTTGGGCTGGGTTGGGAAGATAAAACAGGACTTGGGAGAGCAGCAGGAGGAGGGAGAGCCTGCCTGGATCGCAGAGGGAGTTGGAGGAGGAGGAGGAGGAGGAAGAGAGGGAAGCACTGGTGGGGAGGAGAAGAGAACTTTGAACGTTCTCCTCGCTGCTCAGCCCACACTCAGGCTCCAAAAATGCTCTGGGAAACCATGGCTCTCATTCTCTGGGCACCACTCAACAGCACAGCACAGCCCAGCTGGAATGGGTGAGGCTCAGCAGTCCCAAACGAGGATAAAAGTGAAGCTTTCCATGGCTCCCTCAAGAAAAAAATTAATTTTTGCTATTCAGGATTGACTTAGGTAATTTTCCTGATTTTATGGTCACTTTTATACTGGTTTCTGCCAACAGAAAATCCATATTTTCTGGTTCTAGCTCCTTCTTCATCCACGCAGAGGATGAACTAAACAAGCACCACCTGAATTAATTTGGTTTTATTTCCCCTCATGCCCAGCTCAGAACAACCCAAGCAATTTTAGGGTGAAGAATGGTGAAGAATCCTCTGCACTTCAGGGCAGAACTTGCCAGCTTGCCCCCACTCCAAACTCTTGTGTCAGTGTGCCAAAAAAACACTGCAGATTTCACAGGGAATTGCAGCAATTATAGACAATAAAATAACCTTTAAATCCCAACCACTCTGGGGTGGAATCATCACCGAGTTGAAGCCTCTGGTTTTCCAGCTGCTGGTTTTGAAATAAAGATACTTCAAAGGTGAAGCAGCAAGTGGAAAAGTCATGTTTTCCTCCCCTCCATGAGGAGCTGCTGCTTTGAAGCATTAAAGCGATTTTCCAACAGCTGCCCTTAGAAAGTGCAGTTATCTTCCTGACTGGCTTTTTCCAGCTCTTCCTCCTCATCCTTCCCCATCTCTCCCCCAGTTCCATAGGAACTCTGCTCTGGATATAAGCCACGAGCAGAAACCGGTGGTTTTCCCAGCAGAATATTCAGGAAAAAGTGCAATTCCTGACACGATTCCCTGAGATTTTAAGGTGTTCATGCAAGAGCTTTCAAAGCCAAAAACCTCCTTCCACTTTTAGCAAGCTGAAATCCACAGGTGAGCCTGACTCCGGATATTCTGGATTGTGTGAAGTCTGGAAAACTCACTGGGAATTCAGCAGCCATCGCCTGTCAGAGGTGGGGAGAAAGCTGCTTCCCACAGCCACTCAGCATTCCAGTGGGAATTTTCTGCTCCAGGTGAGCGGTGCCCAGGGTTGTGTCGCCATTCCTTCACCTCCCTGAGCTCAGCAGGGCTTGGACTATCACCTTTCATCACCAGTGGAAGATAAGGAATCCCTGCCCTTTGGGATCCTCCCCTGCCCCTTCACAGCACACACCCCTGGGTGAGAAGTTTGCAAAGGAAGAGCTGGAGGAATATCCACAATTCAGGAAATGGCTGGACCTGTCCTCCACACCAAAGAGGAATTGTTCTGTTTTCAGGAAGCTTCCAATGGGCTGAAAAAAAAAAAGCCCAGTTCCTCTGCAGCAGTTCAAACTGGGGCAGCAAGAAATATTAGTCAGAAAGATCTCAACCTTTCGCCTGGCTTGGGGTGCTCCACCCCGTACCAAGCAGATTTTCACTCCCACAACACCAGAGAAACTCAGAGTCTCCCTCATCACTCAATTAAAAATAAAAATTTATGAGCTTTCAGGACATACCAGGGGGCTGCAACCTCCCCTCATGCCAAGACGTTTTGGTTGGCTTCAAGGCCAGCGTGGGAGTGACGATAAAGGCCCTTTCCAGCTCTCCCCAAAATTCACTTCATCACCAAACGTTTGTCCCGGAGCCAGCCAGGATTGTCATCCCAGCTGCAGGCATTTGACACCTTCCCTGCCCCTCCTGACCCATTTCCATGTTGCTCCTTCCCGGGGAGCTGCTCCCCTCCCTCCGCCCCAGCCCAGGGCTGGAATTTCTCTGGGAATTCAGCATTCCCAATTCTGGGAGCACAGAACTCGAGCCGTGGCAGCACCTTCCTGGGAAGCTCACGGAAGCGGGATCCCCAATTCCCCCACAGCTCCAGCAGGCTTTTCCCAGACTCCACAAAGGACAGCCTCCGGTTTTCATTCACGGCGCGGATGCCAAACTCTGCTCAGCAGAGACACGAGGTTCGCTGCTGCTTTCACGCTGCAAAATCTGCACGTGCTCGGGGAATAATCCTCACCTGGGATCTTTTTCCCAGTATTTTTCCCGTCCGGATCTCACCTACCAATGTCAAACGCACCCAGAGCCTCAGTGCTGGCCTGCTGGAAGGTGAGGGGAGAAATGGGACAGGCTCTAAGGTCCCTTCCAACCCAAACCAGGCCGGGGAATTCCACAACCATGCGATTTCAGGATTCCCCTGGAGCAAAGAGCCAACCTCAACAGCCAGAAAAACCCTAGGACTGGATATTATCTGCAGAGCAGAAAGGAAGGAGAGGGAAAGGAGGCCGAAACGATGAAACTAGCGTGGAATTGGCGTATTACCAAGGCAGCCCTTCCTCCTAGGCAGATTTTCCCAGGTCAGAGCCCCCCAAAAGCCCAGCTCCCTTCCTTTCCCGAGCAGCCCTGGCCGCGATGCTGCACATGGAGCATCTCCGGGAGCAGCCAGGCATTTTCCTGGGCGCTGCAGGATTTCCTTGGAGCAGGAGGCTCGGCTGGAGCAGCCTCTTGGCCCCGCTTCTCTGTGCCACTAATTGTCATGCACTTGGCTGCGAACTCGCCGGGGAGGAGGCAGCCGAGCTGGATTTAGCTCACGCTATCCTACAAGGAACGGAGAACGCTTGGGGTGTGGTGGGTTGGTTGTTTCTTTCTTTTTTTTTTTTTCTTTTTTCTCCCCCCCTTCTTTTTTGTTTTTTTTTTTCTTAATTCCTTCTTTTACGCTCCTATCAGAAGGACCTCTCCAGTTGCTAAGGAACTACGGGCTTTATTGCATTATAAATGATTTAAGGCGGCCCGGCAGATGCAGGTTCAGTAGGCGGGAGGAGATGAGGAGATGTTCCATTTTACCGGCGGCACGAGGCGCCTCAGGAGGAGCCGGGGGGGGCCGACCCTGTTCCACCTCCCCTCCTCCCTTTCTCCTCCTTCCCCACCTTCCCCCCGAGGGGCCCCAAATCACGAAGGATTCCCCCCAAAGCCGGGGTCGCCCCCCCACCCGCGGGGCTGCCCACAGCGCACCCGCCGCCATAGCAACGCGCCCCCCTCCCGGCTCCCCCGCCGCCGCCCTCCCTCACCGTTCTGCGCCGCGGCGGGTCCCGGCAGCAGCGCGGCCGTCGCCAGCAGCAGCGAGAAGGCGATGGGGAGCGGCCCGGAGCGCGGCATCTTCCTGAGGCAGGGGCAGGAGGAAGAGGAGGAGGAGGAAGGTGAGGAGGAGGGTGAGGCGGCGGCGGCGGGAGCGGCGGCGGCTCCGTCCGTCCTTCTCCGCCGACCTCCTACCGCAGCGCAGCGCCGCTCTCGCGAGATCCGCGGGGCGGGGGGCGACGCCGCCGGGGAGGGGACGGGCGAGGCGGGCGGGCGGTGTCAGCGCTGGCCTCGCCCGCCCCTGGCCGCCATGTTGGCACAGTTCGGCGCGCTCCCGTCAGCGCCGTCGCGTCTTCCAGCTCGGGGTTCCCCCTCCTTGCCGAGCTGCCGAGCTGGCGGCGGGACGGGACACCCAGGCGGCGGGGAGCTGCTCCTTGCCCTTGCTACCGTGCCCTCATGGGGGACATGGCGGAGGCCGCTTGGGGCGGCCTTTCCTCGGGCGCAATGGCAGAGTTGCCTGAGGGAACCGTCCATTCAGGGGACCGATGGCAGAGTTGCCTGAAGAATCCATCCCCTCAGAGATGCCATGGAAGAGCTGCCTGAGGGTTCCATCCCCTCATGGCCACCATGGCGGAGCCACTTGAGGGATCCATCCCCTCATGGCCACCTGACAGAGCCACCTGAGGGATCCATCCCCTCATGGCCACCATGGCAGAGCCACCTGAGGGATCCATCCCCTCATGGCCATCTGACAGAGCCACCTGAGGGATCCATCCCCTCATGGCCATCTGACAGAGCCACCTGAGGGATCCATCCCCTCATGGCCACCATGGCAGAGCCCCTCTGGCTGGGATGTCAGAAACACCCCACTCCTCCTCACTTCTGTTCTTCATGGGTATAAAACACTGGAAAATACAGAGCAAGGGCTGGTATTTGGCTCTGTTCATACTTCAGGAGTTTCTGTGCCCCTTTGCAGGGCAGTGTTTCCGAGGAATCCAATTCCATGCTAAATTTTTCAGCTTGAGGTCTATGCACCGACAAAAGACAGATACCATTTTAAACACCATTCTATCCATCACTTCTGTGCTTCCATACAAAAGATTTCCAAGGGCTGTGTCATTTTTTGCGTGAGCAGGAAACAGAAGCTGCATAAAGCAAAAGGTTTTGCTCCATGTTAGCAGTGGAGTTGTGGGCAAAGAGCACAAACACTGGCTCCTGGATGACTGGACAAAGCAAGCATGCTGGAAATCGGCTGTTGGTGAGCTTTGGGTGGCTTTTTTTTATTTTCCTGTCATAAATCACGGGCACCAGGTCCAGTTTGCTGCTTGCTTTTGCTTTGTTTGTCAGCCCAGGTGATGGTGGGGAGATATGAGGCTTGTAAAAGATCGTGGGACAGCAGAGCAGCAGAGAAGGAAACTGGGGGGGAAAACAGTGGGAAAACCCCACAAGATCAGATTTTCAGCTTTCTGCAGAGCCCTGTGTCACCAGTGTGCCCAAAGTGGGGTGGGCTGGGAAATAATGGGTGGTGACATCCCAAACTCTCCTGGTTCCTTGACTTTGTCTCCCTCCTCCTTCACCCTGCCCAGGTCGATCTCAGCAGACTCCAGGTCCTTCCACTGCTCACTGAAAGCCAGGATCAGGCACACTTTTTCCATGGAAAGCCTGCTGAAATGCCTGCCTGAGCGCTTCAGGACTCGGATGAGGACGGCAGGGGCGAGGTCACGCGTGAGGAGGAGCAATTTTTGGCCATGTGCTGCTGCTCCACGTCATCCTGGCTGCCCCTGGCTCCCCAGGGATGCCAGGTTTGATGTGCCTCAGAGATTCCACTGGAGAATTTCCATGGTGCATTTCCATGACTCACTGTTGCTGCCAGCTGATTCATCTGTGTGACACTACTCTGCTTTTTCTCGCCGCGGTGCAGAAACATCCTCTTTTTTTTTTTTTCCCACGGCTGTGTGTGGAACAATCCTGATAGCAGCCCTTGCAAACCAGACAAAAAGGGGAACAGAGCTCCATTAATCCCGGTTTTTCACGCTGCTCCCTGCCGTTTTCCCGGGATTTTGCTGTAACTCTGCTCCTCGCAGGCACCCACTCGCTATTAGGCCTTCCCTCGGCTGCCTGTTCTCCAAGTTTGGAAGGAGCGAGCGCTGGGAGCAGGCTCTGGATGTGCTCGGAAATCCTTGTAACCATGGCAGCCCAGGGTGACTCACGCTGCCACAGGCCCGCGCCCAACTTAGCACGAGGGATTTTTCTCCCCCCGTCCCTTGTCAGCAGCTCGGTTTCTCTGCCACGATTGCATAACTCACTTGTGTTCCCCCGCTTCTGCCCTGCTCTCCTCTCACCTGGAGCTTCCCTGGCAGCTCTGCCTTGGAAGTTGTTCCCCAGGCAGGGAATGAAGGCTCAGCGCGGAGCTGGTCCATGGGTTTGTCATCATACAGCACAAGAAAGCAGAGCAGAAAGTCCCCACAGCCCGGAGGTGTCCTCACGGGTCTGATCCCCACTCTTTTGGAGCACAGAGTTCCTACAAATCCCTAAAATTTATAGCATAATATAATGTAATATAATGTAATATAATAATAATATAATAATAATATCATATCATATCATATCATATCATGTAATGTAATATAATAATATATAGAATATAATATATAATATTAATATAACATAATATATAATATAATATTACTATAATAACAATATTAATATTAATGGTAACATTAATATTAACATCATAATACTATTATAGATTTTAATGTATATAATATATTAATATAACAACATAATATAATATATTAATATAACAACATAATGTAATATAATATAATATAATATAATAATAACATAATATAATACAGTATATAAAATATAAATATATACTATATTATAATACACTATAATATAATACACTATCATATAATCTATTAATATATAATATAACATTATTATATTATATTATATTAATGTTAATATTAGTATTAATATTATAGTAATACCATATGTTAATGTTAATAATATTCATATATAGAATAAAATATAATAGAATAATAAAATAATAAGTGCTCTGGTTTCCAGCCATATAAACGGTGGCCAAAAAACCCCTCTTGTTGTCCCATGGATCAGGGAATCCCCTTGCAGCTGGAGTTGTGCAGGAAAGGGGGATTTGCCAGCCCTAGACCCACCACGGTGGTTTGGTGGTGAAGAGAACTGTGGTGACTCCCAGCTTCAGGAATGCCAGGGAAAACTCAGGCACGTCCAAGTTTTCCAATCCCTGCATTTTCCCTTCAATCAAGACCCATATTTTCACCTCGGGGTGGGGGGGTGTGTCTCAATTTTGATTATTCTCTGCTCATTCCTTCAGAACGAGGAAGACAGAAAATCTTGGAAGCAAAGAGGAAGGAAAAAAAAACAACCAAACCCCTGTAATCAGCAGGAAATTCAGGAGAGTTTCAGTTCTCAGAGAGCAGCGAAGAGGCATCACCCTTATTTTGTGGGGGAATTTTGAGCTTGTCTTCTTGCAGCTGTGAGTGTTTGAGAGATCCCTGTAATTTTGATACGTTTAGTCACATGCTTTGGCACTTGAAATCTTTCAGAGAATGGGCTGGGGTGGAAAGGATTTTGGGGTTATCCTTTCACTGTTCCAGGGTGCTCCAAGCCCCATCCAGACTGGCCTGGGACCCTTCCAGCTGCTCTGGGAATTCCACCCCAGGGCCTCCCCACCCTCACAGGGAAGAATTTCTTTGCTTTGCCTCACTTGGACTCACTTTTTGAACGTGTCCTGGGCCGGGCAGAGCACGAAACAGAGTCCAGCACAAAACTCCTCTTTTTCAGCTGCTCTCGGGGCTGAGAAACCCTGGATAACATCAGATAATGCTCCCAGGGCCGCTTGCCAGGAAAACAGATCCCAAAAGGTAACTCCGACCCGATTATTGGGTATTCATCTCCCCAAAGGCACAATGGCAGCTCGGGCAGATAACATCGGGTGAGGCACCGCGGAGGCTCCGTGCCTCGTTCACACCCTGCTGCACAGCTGAGCCCCGCCGTTTCCATCCTAAACAGCCGGGAAAAAACTTAAACTGGACAAAACCCCCGTGCTCTGAGGAATGAGAGGAGGGAAAGCTTGTAAAATCACACGGTGACGTGCTCTGAGGGAAAAGAGTCGGAGGCAAAGCTGCTCAAAAAAAAAATAAAAAAAAAATAGTAATTTTAGATGTCCTTTTCCCCTCAGCAAAAAGCTGAGCTGCCACTTCCCAATCGCAGGGGGAATGGCAGCTGGGTTATTCCCACCTCCTCCCAGTGCTCAGTGCTCCTGTCAGACTGGAGTCACCCCGTGCTCTCCTCTGAGATGGCTTTCGGTGCAGAACAAACGAGTGACACAAACGGTGATTTGGGGGCAGGCTGCTTTGGGATGCGCACACAGAGTCCGGGGAGGAACCTCGGCTGAGATCAGCTCCGTGCTGACAGAAAGCTGAAGTTGGCCTGACCTCTTTTTCTGCAAGGAAAGAGCAAGAGGGGCACAAATCAAACCGCTTCTCCCCCCTCTCCCTCCTCTCTGACCCAGCCCAAAATTATTTGTCTCCATTGCGAATTCCTCATCCAGCTCAGGCACGCTGGAATGTTTTTCTCCACCCAGTTTTTTAGGGAATGGGGGTCCAATAACTCAGCCGTTCCCTGACCTCATTACCCCGAGGGAAGGGATAACTTTTGTTGGGAGCAGCTCCGTCCAGCCACGGGCAGGCTGCGTGGGGACAGCTTTGCTACACCCCGGCTTGCTCCTGGGCGCCAGCGAGGCCCTCCGGGAAGGCACAGGGGGAAAACTTGGAACATCTGGAGGAATTTTCAGGATGTGGCTGATGCGGTAGGAGCAGACGGCAGGTGGCAGCCCTGGATTAGCGCAGGGCTGGCTCCAGCCTGGCTGGGCACTGCCTGCAGCTGGGCTCCCTCTTCCTGAGGAAAAAAACAGGGATTTGGGCTCCTGTGGTGGCTGCAGGGACAGCCCCATGTCCCGGGGTGCTCCTCACGGCTGTTCCCGTGGCATTTTAGTAGCCTGGGCTGTGGCTTCGGACACGGGGTGCCCTCGTGGGGCGGCAAGGAGGGCTCTCCTCCCGCGGAGCGGGGAGGAAAGGGAAGCACGGCGTGGCTGGCAGGGAAGGAGAGCAGCCAGGAGTCCCCACATCC